CAGACACCACACACAACACACACACACACACACAACTCACATAACACACATCACCCACACCACACACACACAACACACAACACACAACACGCGCGGCACACCCAACACACAACACAACAGACACAGCACACACAACACACAACACACACCACACACAACACACAAGACACACAATACACACAACACGCACCACACACTCACAACACGCACGACATACAACTCACACAACACACACAACACACAACACACAGCACACACAACACACACACACAACACACAACACAACACACACACAACACACAACACACAATACAACGCACACAACACACACAACATACACAGCACACAATGCACAACACACAATACACAGTACGAAACACACAGCACACTACACACAGCACACAGCAAACTACACAACACACACAACACACACGACACACAACACACAACACACAACATACAACAAGCAACACACAACAGACAACACACACACACTACACAACGCATACAAAACACACACACACACACACATCATACACATGCGCAAAACACACAACACACAACACACGCAACACACAACACACACACACGACACACGCACACAACACACACAACACACAACGCACAACACACTCAACACGCACAAAAAAACACAACGCACAACACACACACACACAACACACACACACACACACACACCACACACACACACACACACAACAACACACACACACACAACACTTGTCCTGGCGAAGGACCCGACCATATGCAGTTGTGAGTGCCGCAATTATGAGTGCGATCCGAGGTGGAACTCCCTATGGGGCAACGCTCGCATGCGGGCTTTGCCGATGAAGCCTCCGGTGGAGCTCCCTGTGGAGCCACGGAACGTGTGAGGGGCGTGCCGAAACGGGAGTGTCGCCTAAATGCGGGCTGCGCCATTTGGACCGTAGGTGGAGCTCCCTGTGGGGCCACGAAGAGCATGAGTGGTGTGCCGGAGGGAAACGGGGTTTCGCCCACATGCGCGTTGCGCCATTGGGGCCTTCGGCGGAGCTCTCTGTGGGGCCAGGAATTAAGTGAGGGGGGTGCCGAGACGCAAACGTCGCCCACATGCGAAAGATGCCAGTGTGGCATTAGTTGGAGCTCCCTGTGGGGCCACGAAACGTAAGAGGGATGTGCTGAAACGGGGGTGACGCCCACATGCGAACGGTGCCACCGGGGCCTTAGGTTGAGCTCCCTATGTGGCCACGGAGCGTGTCAGGGGTGTGCCGAAACGAGGGTGTCGCCCACATGCGAACGGTGCCACTGGAGCCTTAGGTGGAGCTCCCTTGGGGCCACGAAACGTGAGAGGGGTGTGCCGAAACGGGGATGACGCCCGCATGCAAAAAATGCGATTGGGGCCTTGGCTGGACCTCCCTATGGGGCCACGATGCGTGTGAGGGGTGTGCCGAAGCCCACATGCAAGCGGTGCCACTGGGGCGCCTTCTCTGGAGCTCCCTCCACGAAACGTGTGAGGGATGTACCGACACGGGAATGACGCCCACATGCGTACGGTGCCACTGGAACCTTCGGTGGAGCTCCCTATGTGGCCACGGAGCGTGCGAGGGGCGTGCGGAAACGGGAGTGACGCCCACATGCGAACGGTGCCACTGGGGTCTTAGGTGGAGCTCCCAATCGGGCTAAGAAACGTGTAAGTGGTGTGCCGAAGCGGGGGTGGCGCCCACGTGCGAACGGTGCCACCGGAGTCTTAGGTGGAGCTCCCTTTGGGGCCAAGAAACGTGTCAGGGTGTGCCGAAACGGGGGAGACGATGTCAACGGCGAGCGATCACGATGAGAATTGATGTTGATGCTGCTGCTGCTGCTGCTGCTGCTGATGATGATGATGATGATGATGATGATGATGATGATGATAATGGTGATGCTGATGTTGATGACGATGGTAGTGATGATGATGGTGGTGATGATGATGATGCTGACGATGATGGTGATTATGATGATAGTGATGATGATGCTGCTGATGAGGATAATGATGATGACGATTATGATGGTGATGATGATGCTGATGATGATGCTGATGATGATGCTGATGATGATGCTGGTGCTGATGCTGATGATGACGATGAGGATGAGGATGAGGATGATGATGGTGGTGATGAAGATAATGATACCGATGATGCTTGTGATGAGGATGATGATGAATGGTGATTGTGGTGATAATGTTGCTGCTGATACTGATGCTGACGTTGATGAGGATGTGGATGATAATGACGATGACGATGCTGATGCTGATGACGATAATCATGATGATGATGCTGATGATGAGGAGGAGGAAAAGGAGGATGACATGCGAAGAGCAGAGGCAGGGATGGGTGGACGGAAGTGGGGGAGGATGAGGAGTGAGGAGTGAGACGCGGGACGCTGTCTCTTCAACACGAAGACCCAACACCACGGGATGGTTGGGAACATATTTGCACAATTACACACTACACCCTAGGCGATGCTT